TTTAACTCATTCTCACTAAAATTTTCCCGCTAGATAATAGATAATCACAGAGTAGGCAGTACATCTAGGCCCTGGGTTAGCATTTATTACTTGATTCCACTATAATGCATTTCCATACTACGATTACACTTGGTCGCAATTTGGTGTTGTGTCGTATCGTGTCAGTATGAATAACCCTAGTCGTGTATGTAAGGAATGATTGTATGAACGCATTTTCATGGATGATTGACTATCATATATTCAATTAAGACATTATTCAGAATTGCATGAGTCCTGATCAAATTCCTGTGATTCCTACTTTAACCTAGAACGACAATCTCTGCATAGGTTAAAAGAGTATCCCTAATTTGAAGTAGTGAATCAGTTGCTTTAGTCGAGAAGTCGATTCACGGCTTTGTACTGGAATTAAAATCCAGTAAAGGAAGTTGTGTGTGGTAATGCCTCGTTAGCTTAGTCTGGTGGAGGTTACTCGCCGCCAAGCATTTGAACATGGAGGGTCTGGGGTTCTGTAGTCGAGACTCCAGACTTATCAAGAACTTTCCGCAGTATAATTGTCAATTAAAATGAACTTGGGGAATTACAACCTGACTTATCTGCAAACTAGGGGGACATGTACCTGGGTGACCTTTCTCATACTTGAAAACCCGGAACAATTACTGCCTTCTGTTTGCTTTTGCTTTCAATCAACTTCACACCATTTCTACCTCTAGATAATAGAATTTCACTGAGTAACCAGTACACCTAGGCTCCATATTAAATTTTAGAACCTGAACCTCTATACTGCATTCCTAGATCACGATTATACTTGGTCATGGTTTAGTTGTATTGGTAAAAGCGAGTCAGCAGTCCACATTCCATCTCCAATCTCATACAAACGTGCCCTTGAGATGGGGAAAACATCTGCAACACCAACTCAAACACAAGAGACAACTTTCAGTTCAGCGGACATCTCCATCACCACAGAGAGTGGTATGCTTAGTAACATTATGAAATCATGTATGCTATCCATGGAAAACTCTATAGTCATCATGTTGGTAGAGTTGGATCTTTCTCAACCCCTTAAAACCTAGTTCAAGCTAGATGGGGCGGACCAAGATATGTTGTAAGAAAATCTACCTCTTGTTTGCTTCACTTGTGGACGCATAGGCCACCTAGCATTCGATTGCCCATCTTCACCACCATCGCCTCCCACTGCCTCCATTTCCCCAAAATCAACCAATTCCCCTACGCCATCAAGATTTTCATCGCCCGAACCAGTCGAATTTGCGTATGAATTACCGGAGTTGGGGTCTGAATCACCTAACACGGAGCCTTTGTACTACCTATGGATGCTAGTCCAACGTCGTCCATATCATCAGGCGACCACCAAGCCACGAGAACGCCCACCAAAGAAGACCGCTGACCATCCAATTCCTGGGAAGTTAGGCACCACCGATGAACAACAAACCACATTCAATGTTGTCAGAGCAGGGGTAGAAATTACAGACTTGATCAACAAAAATCATGCAATCAGTGGACGGTGACAGGGAATGGAGATCGTGATGGGCTATGATTGAGAGCAAATCAGGTCATTGATTTTGGTATGGATCATCATGCAGGAGGGGAGCTCCCTCTCACTCACGCTGATAAAAAAGGGGAAAATCTGGATTCTGCCAAAAGAAGATGAGAGGAAGATTGAAGATGGAAAAAACAAAATTGAAGGGGCATCCACCTCTTCCCTCGCACGTACACACCCTACCGCCAAAAACAGGACAAAATGGGCCTCCCCCATTCACAAAACCAACAAGCCCAAAGTATACCTTTAACTCAAAATCACTCATGCCCTACGTTAACCCAAAGCCCATCCACCCAATTTTCTTCTCTTCTATCTGCTACCAAAACCGAGAACACCATTTCACTACCTTCAAATAGAGCTTGGGCTTGTTGACATTATGGCTAAAAATTCTGATGCTTCAAATTATATGTCATCCTTCAAAGCGGTTAATCGACAAGCCTCTACTTTTGAATTCTCCCGCAATAATTTTTCATCTTCTTTGTTCCCTAACCCTTTCCTACAAGGTAAGCTTCATATTGCCACAAATAAGGGGCGCAACATCAGCTTCACCCAAAATATGAAAGGTTCTATAAGGGGAGATACCAACAAACGCCTACAGTTACGGCCAACCAAAGTTACCATAGAGAAAAAACAAAAGCAACAATTGGAGAATCTATCCCATGAATACATAGTTAACGATGATGTCCCTATTGCTATGTTTTTGGATCAATTGTCGGGGGTGGCGGCTGAGAGCACAATGACCACTACGACAATGACTGAGACGTGTGTGATATTGAAGAATGGCATGACGTCTCCTAATGGGCCACATGTCGTGGTTGAGAAGTCCCAAGTTGTGTCCGAGTCTCTCAAGAAGAATTACCCGCAACCACCATTATTTACCATGAAGGAAGGAGACAATATTGTGAGCTCATTTCTTATGATCATCACCTTCTAGACAACTCCCGCCTCCTCTCATGATTCAGATATGACCAATTTCTATAACGGGCAGCCCCAACCTGCTAACCAAAGGGGTGTGAGTGATCATTTGTTGCCCTCAACCGACTAGGGAAGCCCACCAAATCCGGGACGGAAAGCTGTAGAGGGTGACGAGAGACATTTCACAACTTGCGATACTAGAGGGGTAGGGAGGGAGTGCAAAACCAACAACCTCCTGAGATTAATCACAGGGAGTTCTTCCTCTTATCGGGTGAGGGTAGTCGTAGATTTACTAGTGTGTTTAATGAATACAAGAGAAAGCATAAACCTCATATAGGTATCATTGTGGAACTGCGCATTAGTGGGGACACTGCTAGAGATGTTATATTGGATATGAGATATGATAATAAGCATGTTGTTGAGGCCACAAGATTCTTAGGGGGTATTTGGCTTCTTTGGAACTCTAGTGACCTCGATATTACTCAGCTTGATACTCACGCCCGATATCTTCATGTGTAGGTTACTAACTCAGGTGCTCAGGTTACATCATGGCAACTCACTCCCGTCTACGCTAACTCTGCCCACATGCAGCATAGAGCCTAGTGGAAAGCTATAGTTTCTCTTGCGAAAGATCAAAACTAGCCTTCAGTGTTAGCGGGGGATTTCAACTCCATTTTCCACCCGTTTGAAAGTTGGGTGGGGCGGCCTTTGATGCAAGTTGTATTCGGGACTTTCAAGATTGCATCCATTATTCGTGGCTTATTGATTTGGGATTTAATGGGCCGAATTTCACCCGGTATAGGAACGGTAGCCGAGAACGGTTAGATAGAGCACTGACAAACTTTAACTGGTTCTCTATCTTTTCGAAGACGTTGGTGCGACATCTTCTCCAAGTGAAATCTGATCACCGCCTGGTACTACTCTCAACCCACTCCGAGCACAAGCCTGCGGGTCCTAAACCTTTTCATTTTCTTGCCGCATGGTTAACTCACGATGGATTTCTTCCCATGTTACAAGAGGCTTGGGCTAAGGGATCCTCGTTTAACCCTTCGACTGAAGCTTTCGCAAGGGATGATACCCTCTGGAACTACCATGCGTTTGACAATATCCAAAGAAAGAATGATGCTCTTATCAGAAAACTTGAGGTTCTTGAACAAAAAGATGGAGATATGGGGCTATCATCCCAGCAAGAGGATAAAGGGAGGAGCTCGAAATGATCCTATCCCAGGAAGAGCTCATTTGATTTCAGAAATCAAGACTGGAATGGATTGATTCGGGTGATAGGTTACTTCCTACTTTCATCGAAGGACCTTACAACATCGATAGAAAAACAGAATTGTCACTTTAAAGATGGCAAGGATGATATCGAGGCTACAATAATTGTCTAAGGAGTTTTTTCGGAGTCTTTACACTGATGAGATCGAGGCTACCCAAATCGTAGATCGTGACTTCTTGATCATTGACAGTCCAAGGTGGCAAGGTCTGGCCCTCCCTCCCTTGCTAGATGAAGTGCTCCGTGCCATTAAATCCATGGGAGCTATGAAGTTTCTTAGGAAGGATGGTATGAATCCTTTGTTCTTTTAGAGATGTTGGGCGACGGTGGAGGGACTCCATGGTGAAGCTGGCTAAGGACTGCTGGGAGGAGCCGAACATGATTCATACCATCAATTCCACAATACTAGTCATTATCCTGAAGGTCGCGGTGCCCACTCTGATTGAGCAACTCCAGTCGATTAGTCTCTGCAACGTGGCATATAAGGCTTTAACAAAGTGTCTTGCAGAAAGATTGAAGCCACTTATGCCTCGCCTGGTCCATGAAACACAAACTAGTTTGTGTCGTGCATGCATATAACTGATAACTGGAAGCAATAGGAGACCCAACAAAGATTGGAGCCACTTCATGCGTGCCAAAAAGGGTAGATGAGGTTGGATGATGTTCAAAATTGATCTTGCCAAAGCTTATAACCGTATCCGTTGGAACTTTGTCCGGGACACTTTGGAAGCAGTAGGAGCCCCAACAAGCTTTGTTGCAGTTACTATGGCGTGTATTACCTCAGCTACCATGCAGATTCAGTGGAACGACGGATTCACAAGCCCGTTATCACCAACGCGTAGCCTTACAAGGATATCTTCTTTCACCTTACACCTTTACGTTAGGTATGGAGCTATTAAGCCATTTGATCAATGCTTCAGTGAGGGAAAGCCATTGACAGCCCATTAGACTGACGAGGAATGGGCATTGAGGTCGAGCCCTTGTTTTCCCCACATCATAGTTACTATGCTATCTCCTATCTCTTGGCAAAGGAAAGCGAGCAGAAATGGGGAGAAACGCACGCAGCCATCTAGAGAAAAGGTATTATAAACAGAAAAGTCTTCTACTCCACGCATTCGACCATAAGAATTTCCATCCATTTCTAGAATCCAATGACTTGAATCTCTCACTTTCCTCGTCCATTATGATTAAGTTCATTCAAACCCCATTAGATTAGTCCAAAGAAATCAGTCTTTCATTTTCCCAGGAGAAAACCACTTCAAATTCCAAATTTGCCCACCATCTTCTGAACCATCCTCAAACAAGTGCCCTCCGCGTTACATTGAACGGCGGCGTCCAGAATGTCCAGAAATGTCATTTCAGTATTCCTAATGCCAACAAACTCTGGCCGGAGTCAACAAAAAGAACCAAACAAAGAGCAGGCGTTTGCTGAAAACCGGTCGCCGGACCCACCACCGGCCGGACCCTCTTTTATACTTGAAAAATGAGCTTTCCTTCCTCCCCAACGGAAACGCCCATAAAGTTCTCATTTTTGCCGCTTACGCATACGAGCTCTGTATATCTTTCTCTGTTCCTCATTCACACAGTTGGCGCCATTGCCGAACTCTCTTGCGCTTTTTCCTGCGCCTTTGACCTTTTCCAATCCCCTTCGATTTGAGTCAGTCCACAACTGCTAGCCTTCGAGAATCAGATAAGTGATCTTGGGCTCAGTTCAGTTCAGTCATCTGATTCCACATTTGGTAGATTCCCGATCACGACGGTGCTTGTTGCGACCGCTTCGGATGGACGCTTCGGTGGAGAACGGTGGCTCCGGAGCTGAGGCAACTCCGGTTGGAAAATATGAGAAGGAGGCGAGTGAGAGTGTTGATCAGATTCACAAGCCACCGACGACTGAGAAGGCCGATGTAGAAATGAAAAAGAAGAAGAAGAAGAAGAAGAGTAGAGTATTCGTGTATCGCCTGCCGAGAATCGGATGTTTGAGAGTGGAGAAGGATGGGGATGGGAACTTCGATATGGAGGTGGTGGATGACGACGGGACTTCTCCGAATCCGACCCATCTTGTTATAATGGTGAATGGCATCATCGGCAGGTCCGTATTTCATGAGTTCGTAGCCGGCAATGAATCTGCTTGATTGTTTGTACGATTTCAGAATCTCAGTGAAGCCGCACCCAGAGATTCTGCTTCCCTGACCTGATTTTGCTGTCTGGAACTTTGCAGTGCCCAGAACTGGAAATTTGCTGCCAAGCAGTTTTTGAAGAGGTATCCACGAGATGTTGTTGTTCACTGTAAGCATTTCCCCCCTTTCATAGAGATAAGAATTCGAGCTGTCGATTGATTATGTGGGAACTAGCTAACTAGGAGCTGACCCGTTCATTTCAGTAATTGGAAAGTTGGATTCCAGTTTCTGCTTGGTACTTCAGTTGCTTGCAATTTGATCTGATCTGTGTATCATTTGCTTTCTCCCTAATTACGTTACATACCTACTTGATTATGAATGGATTGTGAATGATCGAAATGCAGGCAGTGAACGCAATTACGCAACTTTAACACTTGATGGGGTTGACATAATGGGGGATAGATTAGCAGATGAGGTTAGTTTTACTTTCTCAACCTAACCAGCATTTTCCCAACTCCATTTCCCTTTACATTAGCTTGAGAATCTTTGCCCTTTGTCTGAAGTTGCTTGTCTCAACACAAGAGCATTTCTTTGGTTCAGGTTGTCTCAGTTATCGAACGCCATCCATCTCTGAAGAAGATCTCATTCATTGGTCATTCTTTGGGAGGGCTGATAGCAAGGTATGCAATTGGTAAGCTTTATGGAGTTGAACCTAAGAAGGAAGTTGGTCAAGACAATGCAGAGAGGAAGAATGAAGCTGATGTAGCACGAGAGAAATCATCAGAAGGTGAATTCAGTGGCAAAATTGCTGGATTGGAGCCTATCAATTTCATCACATCTGCTACTCCTCACCTTGGTTCAAGATGGCATAAACAGGTGACTCAAATAAATCTCTTTGCTCAGTTCCTGGGTTGGTTGAACTCTTGGTAACCTTCCTATCTGTCATGTTGAACTCAAATGCTTCGTTTGTGATCCTTTCCACTTTCAAACTACCCTGATATTCCTAGTAATGTTCTTGGCAAGCTTAGGAAATTTCTGCTGGTGGGTTGCTTATGAAATTTCCACTCAAGGATGCAAATCGTAATGCATGTTTTGTCCCATATGAATATGATCACCCAACAAATTCCCTTTGTTGCTTTTTCTTTTGCCTCTTGTCTTATTTGTATTTTTGAATGGTGCGATTGGTACTTTTAGGTCCCCATGTTTTGCGGCTCTTCCGTTCTGGAAAAGACAGCTGCTCGACTGGCGTGGTTGCTTGGTAGAAGTGGACGACACTTGTTCTTAACCGATGGTGACAAGGACAAGCCTCCTCTTCTTCTTCAGATGGTTAGAGACACGGAAGATCTTCGGTTTATGTGAGTTTTCATTTCATCCACTTCTTTCTCGCCCGGTTCAATAAACACCATAGTGATGATGACAAATCATGAGAAAGAAATGCCTCACCATGTGTTATCTCTGCGCAGGTCTGCTTTACACTCTTTCAAGCGTCGTGTTGCATATGCAAATGCACGCTTTGACTGTATCCTTCAGTTTGGTTCAGAAACAACCATCTTCAGACAGTCCATAGATAATCTTTCTGTTCATTTGGTTTCACAAACATCAGTTAAAGAATATGAGAGTGGTTCAGCAGCCACTGTAAATTTCGTTGCTTAGTTTCTGTAGTAGTGAATTTTCTTTTCGAAAGACTTGACTTTTTAATTATAGCTCTTGTTGGGTGGAGCACATCATCCTTACGCCGTCGTCAGGAGCTCCCTAAGGTACAGTGTCGTTCTGCATGGAAGTTTTTGGGTTACAGCTTCTCTGTCACCGAATCTCTGATTGTTTTCCGATGATCAGAGACGGCATCTTAAGCGGGATGACAAATACCCGCACATTGTACACATGGATCCATCAAAAACTTCAAGCCCTCCAGAAGTTATTCCAGATACCAAAGATAATGGCCGTGAAGATATATACATGGAAGGTTTGTGCTAGCCCTCCTCTAATCGATTAAACTTTCAACTAAGTTGAAGAACCTTGGCAACTACTCTTGTCATTTTCATCTTAGTGGAATAAGAATCTTGCTACTCGCCCCACTTGCAGAGGAGATGCTCAGGAGTTTGACGAAAATGAGTTGGGAAAGAGTAGATGTCAGCTTCAGTGGAAGTAGACAGAGAATTTTTGCTCACAATACCATTCAGGTGATAACCATTAATTCTTCGCCCTTTCTCACTTCGAGTCACGTCACACAAAGCTAACAGAACCAGGGAAGCTCTGTTTTGAGAGAACCACCTTCACTAACATGATTTGTTTTCATTTTCTTTGATCACTGGCAGGTTAAAAGCAAATGGATGAACTCTGATGGTGCAGACGTGATACAACACATGGTCGACAACTTTCTCTTATAGAAGGAGCCCTTTCCTGACCTATCCATCGTTTTAACTTAGTTGCATAGGAAAGCCAGAGGATGAAGCTACCCAATGGAGAACTGGACGATAAATGCAGACGGTACACTAGGAAAGCACGAACGAGTTAGAAATGAGAGACATAGGAAATTCATTTAATCTTTGTTTATTGTAAATGAAAGAAACACGAGAGAAAATAATAAAGAGCGGGCTTTTTTCCTCATGGCTCCTCCATAATCAGACTGTTGGTGACAGACTCTTTGTGTACTAATTATTCGGTGGCAAATTTGTCTTGAACATCTGCAAACTTGGCTCTTGAAAGCAGCAAATGCTTGCACTTGCAGCAGGACAAATTCTACCACTAAACTTAAGGAGGGATCACGGATGATCTTATTATGTTCAATCTTGGTGTTCCAGTGCTCTGTACAGTAAAAGTACTATTGATCACATGTGGCCGTCTGCGGGCACAGTGTATAGAACACAGGTCCATGAATGAATGAATGAATGAATGATTGCTGCCATTTCTGCAAAGCGAGCATTTATCATGTACGAAAACATGGTCCCTATTGATGGGTTGTTGTTGGCGGATGGAAAGAAACGCACGAATAACGTTTTGGCTGGTGGTGGGCAAAGCTCTTTCGATGCCAATCTTCATTCCAAACGGCGACCTTATGAGGAGGTAAAGAAATTAACACAACTCTCTGTCTCTGATCTGATCTGATCTGATCTGATGCGTTCTGGTTTTATGGGTAGTTGGGAAGTTGATGACTGTGGAGGGAATGTGCGCAAATGGTTAAAAAGCGCACATCTTGATATGGGGTCTCCTTTCTTGCTTCACCTTTTTTTCAAGAGAAGAAACGGTATAGCGCTGGGTGACTCGGTGGAGGACAGGACGTCTGTCTGAGTACCAATCAGAAAACGGTATGCTGCTGCAATCTGCAGCTGACCTCTCTCTCTCTCTCTTCTCTGTTTCTTGCTTTCTCATCTTACCTTCCCCAAGCTAGATAATTGAGTAGGTGGTGAGAGATTGGAAGGAAGCCCATTACTCTCTCAGTTTACACTTTCCAAGCTTAGCCCAAAAGAATGGCCGGGACTGGAGTTCTGAATTCTCAAGCAAGCTCTCGATGATGATTAAAAACCCCATTCTATGAGGCTACAGATGAGATGCCTACCCTCAAAATAGTAGTAGCATCCTTGGGAAACAGATACAATCTCAAAGTTATTTTAATTTTAATGCTTCTCATTCCGAGGCAGCGAAACCCAAAGCCAGGAAGGAAGATATCTTGAAAGGGACCTCTGGCGTGTGATCTTGTATAACTGCCACCAACGGAGACGGAAGAGAGTGTGGGAAAAAATGAGGAAGAGAAAGGGAAAACTGTTCCCAAATCCCAACCCACTCCCTTTCAGATCTCAATAATAATGGTGATGTAATAATCTCAGAACGCAAACGTGTGATGGGGGCAGACAAAATGAAAACTAGAAAACGGGAAAAAACCCATTAGTTAGGCAATAATACAGCTATAGCCTAGGCTGACCCTGCAATTCTCATCTCATGCATGTCTCTTCCTCTTCTTCTTCTTCTCCAACTCCTCCATATATACATGTCTGTTTCTCTGGGTTTTGAGTATTTGTCTTTGTGCTTGTATTCTCCCTTCCTCTCTCTCTTGGTACTATCGTAATAGTACATGAGGAGTAGCTTTCTTTGGTTTTTGTTTTCCCTCTTGGCTGAGTTGGGGTTAGAGGTCCCTCACTCGCTCAGTCACTCGTCTCTTCTCTTTCTAGCCTGGTCTCCCTGCTGCATTACTCTGTTTTCCCCCACTTACACGTTTGAAAGCCTCTCTGATTAATTATACAAAAGGAGGAGTGTAAAAGGGAAGATAGATTCTTTGGGGGGAGGGAAGGTGGCAACTGATCACTATCTCTTTTGGGTTTTGGGGGTACGCTTTTTCAGGATTCAGATCTCTGTTTAGTCCTTTCTTTATCTAGCTGTTTGTTGCCACTATTTACTCCGTGTGTCAACCCAAACCCACCTTATCCCTGTTCTTTTCCCTCTCCCTCTCCCTCTGTTTCTTTTCCGCTAATATATATCATCCCACTTCTCAAGGCTCTCTGAACTCAAACGACACCCTCTCACTCTCTCCCTCTCCTTTCCTTCTCCGCTAGTGGAAAGATGGGCAGTGATCAATTTTGCTTCTGTTGCCACAGAAAGAAGCAATTAATCTTTTCGTTGCTGGTTCTTCTGATCTCAAGCGTCATCTTTGTTAGATTTCAAACCGAAGGTAAGCGAAGTTTGATTCCCCATTCCACTAGTAAACCTCTCCGGAAACCATTGGCCTCACTCTTTTTGTTTGTTGATTTTTTTTGCAGGAAGAGCAATCAGCAAGCTGCTTGAAGTAAATGGAGTTGGAGAGGAAGAAGGGAAATTCATGGTGAGGAGTAAGACAATAGGATCGAGGCCGCCAAAGTGCGACAACAGATGCGGCTCCTGTGGCGGCCATTGTGAAGCGGTCCAAGTCCCCGTGACGACAATGCAGGGGAGAAAGCCGGGGAGGAGCAGCCGTTTCAGTGTTGCTTACACCTCCAGAGGTGAAGATTACTCCAACTACAAGCCCATGAGTTGGAAGTGTAAATGCGGAAACTCCATTTTCAATCCTTGATTGATCAATCTCTGGGTGTAAGTAAGTAGATCAACAGCTGTTTCTTTTGGTTGGTGAGCAGAGGAAATGCCCAACTTCTGCTAATGTAATGTGGATAAACAATGACCTGCTAAACTGTATACTACTCCGATTCCTCTGCCTCATGTCTCTATATCGGCTCCATGAATTCTCTGTCCATTATGGTGAAAGCATATTCATATTGCTATGTGGGTTTGCGAAAGTTGTCGCTTGTTTCGACTCTTTCTCTGTTGGCGTTCGCTGCATTATACTCGATGCCAGCCGGTGCTCTGTTTTTTTTTTTTTTGCCGTTTTCTAGTTTGTAACTTTTTTGTTTTCGGAATTTATTCCCATAACTTTTTGGTATGATTCACTTGGATATATAGAGGCGCGACGGAGTAAGAAATGTGCTTGCTTCGGACTTACCATTGCAGTTAGTTTCCTTCTTTTCCGAATTGTCACGTCGTCCTACTGCTATTGAGCAGCAAATCCCACTCAATTGACTCACTTTTCTTGCTCTGTTTTCGGCTCTGACGTACAGGATTCTTATATCTTGTTTTGATGGATTTTATGATAGAACTTTTCTAATGGTTAGATCAACACTTATTAAGCTCTAGGCCAATCCAAGTTAAGGCTTGTCTTTGTCAATGTGTACAAAACTTTTAAAACCAATGTCCAATAGTTGCATCTGTTGTATTCTTTAGAATGTATCCTCTCTTTAGTTTTATGCACACAATTATTATTAGTATAATTAATTGGCGAGTTAGCTTAAGGGGTCTAGTGGGCTACGGGCAGGTACATCGTAAGCCCCTGTACACCCTCTTTTTTCGGCGCGAGACCCCCTCTTACCTTCTCCCGTGTGTTCCCTACGTCGAATGACTGGCGATTACCCAAGTTTTAAGCCTCTTGTGGACCATCAATATTGATCGTCGATTCAGGGGATCTTTTTTTTCAAACTGTGTTTTTTTTACTCCTACCTTCCCTACCCCGGAGATTTCCCAGATCGACGGATTAGCCTAGCGGCCGCCATCAATTCTACTCTTCTTTACCTCCAAGCGAACCTCTGGTAGGTGATGGATCGTGTTTTCCCCTCTCCCAGACTAACTCTAATGGGTTTGGAAGGGGGATGCAAGGGATCTCACTATGTGAACTGTTCGGCGGCTAGGCAAGTCATCGATGATAGGATCACCGCTGATAATCACCCTATTTCCCCACTATGGTGCATGAACTGTTCAATCGATTCCTCATCCCGACGAATCCTTCGTGACACACCATCGTCTGTACGCCTCCAGCGGATTGCATGTTCAATTAATTGACTGCTGTTTATTCTCCAGCGGGTTCAGAGGCTTCCCCAATCCCAAAATCCAGATATGTCGTGCTTAAGTAACAAACTTTGGGCTCTCGATCTGTTTTGTCGCCGATGGAATTGGGTAATCAAATAAGAGGGTAATTGGAAGAAGCAACCACAATTAGCCGATGATTTCGACAGGAAGATGAATAAGAGAAGGATCAAAAGTAGTGAACCAGCACTTTTGCTCATTTACTGAGAATAGGGGGTTTGAATTCCAATTGCATGCAACTGGTCGACTCTCTTTAGTTCGTTTAGAATTCTCGATGATGGCCGGAATAAAAAAAAATCACTCAGGTAGCAACTGTGGGTGGGTCATCGGAGATGATGTTGTTCCCGTGAACCAAGTGGTTCTTCTATCCCTTTCTCACACTCTAAAATTCTATTTTTGGCAGAAAATATGAACTTATTCTCAGCGAGAAAGATCAAGAGGAAGCAACAGAACTTTCTATAGTATTGGGGAAAGCTACAAGTGATTAACAAAAGATGTAGATGCCAACATGTAAATAATCGGCGAATGTAGATAGACTAATTGAGTCATAGAGAGCATGATGAAAGAAATCAAAGCAATAAGAGCAGTAACAAATATAGAGATGAAGGAATGTATAGAGCTCAACTAATTGACCTTTGTTGCCACCAGTCACTCATCTCCTCCACGCGTAGGAGGTCATGGGATGGGTCTTGGTGTAATGAAAGGGAAGGTAGCCTATTTGATTAGAAAGAAGATTTGTGGATTATGAAAAAAAAACATTGAGGGATTTATATTTATCCTATAACGAATGTTAATATCAATGGTAGATAAAATATCAAATCATTATATACTTATTATGTAATTTAAGTTCAAATAAAAATTAGTATTATTGCACAATATTCGCATATCATATTTATAGCATACATGAAAATTGTAAAAAGTGTAAGTTGTTTATTCTTCTAGATTTAGTTAAGAAGTTATTTAAAATAACAGTTTATCAATTTCAATAGCGCATATTTACTAAGCACATAACTTGATGTTAAGTCGAGTAAATTTTTAGTTAATTAGATTCAGCTGGATGATGTATTAGTGACTTCTCATTAACAAAACTACACAGATTTTTATAATTAAGAAAATTTGAGTAAGTTTAAAGAGTCATACATTTGATATGTGCTATTATGTTAATTTCGTCAATAATTCAATTATAAAACTAAATCTTTTCCAAATCTTGCCATTTAGGTAAAAAAGAGATTGATCTACAAAATCAAACATATTAAAATTATTAACAAAACCTGATGGGATTATTCAATTGAATAATTCAAAATTCAATTTTCTAAATTTCACCTCTATATTACATCCAACCAAACAATCTCATAATTAATTCTCCCAAATGATATGATTTAGTGTTTGAATTATTTAGGTGAAAAATATAAAGGTACATTTTCAAAATCAAATATCACAAATGATCCCAGAAATCTAGAGAGAGAAAAAAACTATATAGGATCCCGACGCAACGCTCGGGCCAATTATCTAGTTTGTATATAATTTGCTTGACGTGATGTGAATGATTGTATAATTTCTCGACTTTTAGTTGATACTAGATATGCCCGCTCGCTTCACGGCGAGTTGAAGATAAAATGGTAAATGTGTCTTTATGAAAGATTAAGTAAAATGTAACTCGTTCGACATAACTCTAAGAATTCCAAGAAGAATCACTAAGATTTTGAGGGAGAGGTTAATAGTAATATGCACTCGCTAGTCAATGAATTTATAAATTAGAGGACATCGATATAATATTTGGATCTCGATGATTGTTACTTAGATTATTTATGATTTTAACGCGTTTATATTGAAAAAGAAAAAGATGAAGGAATGTAGCATTTGGTTCCTTTGTGTTTTATGCCACTTTCGTCATTTTAATGGACAGTGAGAAAGATGTAAGTAAGAATGCAAATCCAAATAAAAAGTATGCATAATCCTATAAAAAAGTATGTATAATGACTGATAACCCATTTTAGAAGATATCTCCGTCATTTTTCCATTTGAGCTCAAACTCGAGAGAGACTAAAAATGTAAAACCAAATACGAACAAATAGATCAATGATGCCCTTCTATTATACAGTTATATGCTTGATTTTTTTTTACTAAGATTTTTTTTTCTAAATAAGTAATATTTTCAAATTTCACATAATACAAATTTTCAATCGTGTGATCGATAAATGAAACAATATAACCTAAGGCTTAAATAAGAAAATTTGTTTTCATTCACAAATAAAACCATGTTGAAACTACTTAGTCAATCTTCCATTAGAACAATATACTATACATATAAAGTATGAAAGTAAATTAGACTTGGTAGACAATGAGGTGTCATATTCCAAATTGAACTCTATAAAAAAAATTAAATAGGAAACTCGCAAAAATGGTCAATTGATAAGATTTTGAAATTAAAATGCAGTCTTGTAATGCACGTGATCGAAATACGTATGATCAGTCGAGCTTAAGTTGAATAGTCGAAAAACTCACAAGTATTGTTAATATATAAGAATTCAAAAATTGATAAGATTCTAAAAGGAAAATTTATTGTCAGAATATGCTTGATCGAAGTACGTGTGATTAGTCAACTTTGAGTTGAATAGTCGGAAAAATAAAAAAAAATTGTTAATCTAAAAATTCGAAAATTTGAAATGGATCATCGCAATACACGTGAATCATGATTGGAATATGCGTGATCAATATAATCGACCACGGAAAAACTCACAAGAATTGTCATTTGATATAAATTTGAAAGCAAAAAATGCATCACCAAAATACATGTAATCGTAATACGCATGGCCGCTGGGCGTATGTAAATTCCTTAATCTCCTCTAGATGGTAAATAATTAGTCAACAATTAAAGAAAATTGTCAACAATTAGAGAAGTGGAGTTTTTTCTAAGTCAAATGAAATTGCAAAGTTCATTGGTAATTACAAAAACTCAAATTAATGAATAGTAGATGTAAAACCATCTATTTTATAATAGAAAATAATAATAGAATGTTTAGTTGAGATTTTTTTTTACGAAACCTTATTTTATTAAGAACTTGTGGAAAAGAGAAAGTGAAAGTGTGCAACTAAATGCAAGTGTGCAACCAAATACAACCCACTAAAAGAAAGGAACAAAAAAAATGGAGTAAAAAAGACTCCAAAACCCACACTAGACCATACTACCCAAAACCACAACCAACCTTAACATAAAATAGGCTCATTTCAATCCAAGTCCCAACTCTGCCACAGTCACACCATCCCGCATTAGGGATGGTAATGAGTCAGGTTTTGTCAAACCTAAACTCAAATCCATGGGTTTATTCATCAAAAAACTCGGGGTAAAACCTATTTGGTTTGGAAAATTCAAACCCAACATGTTGGGTATCCGCGGGTTCATGGGTACCCATGAGTTTTTGTGGTAAAAAATTTACAATAACTAGTTCCTATCAAAATAAAATTCAAACATCAATTTCCCCATACAAATTATCCATATATAAAATACCAGTCTAGAAAATTCAGACATATAACAATTACACTAAATAAAAGCATACGGAATAAGTGTAGTGAGAGTTAGATTGGGGGAAATTATAATTAGATAGGGTTTGGGGAGAGTAGGGCGATAGAATAAGTGTGGGCGGGTATCGCTAAACCACACCCAACCCAACCAGGTGAATAGTGTAGGGTTTAAGTCCGAACCCGACACGAAATCCGTCAACGCAGTTTTACCCACGTTGACCGAGTTGAGTCCGATAGAGAACTCTGATACAGAACTCGTGGGTTCGGGTTTTGTTGCCATCTCTATCCCGCACCCAAGAATCTACACCCCCACACTTTGTTGTCCCTCCTAGAAAATGATCTCGCCTCCCTCGTCGGCCTCCTCCATGCCTGTGCTTTCTCCTCTCCTCTTCCATGTCTTGCCCTCCTCTGTTTGTGATTGTGAAGAAAGAAGACGAGACTAATGGCCTGGCCGAACTAATGTTTTGACTTCAATTGATCATGAGCCATAAAGAAGTCAATTATGTTGGGTCCTCGGTGAAACCAATGTCAATGTTCAATTTGAACCTAGTTAAACCAA